GGGCTCAGGCTTCTGTTGCTTCGGGCTTGTAAGTCTTGTAACTAGGGTGTTAGGGTTTTTGTCGGGGATCGACCTTAGAGGAAGGCATGGGGATTAGGTTTCGGGCCGGCCAGCAGCCCTAAGCCGCACATCCCAGGCCCCATAATGCTTCTTGAAGCGCCCGGGCCCGACCCGAAACCCTGTACCTTGGAGTTACATAAGCCCTGAGCATTGGGGGGCGCCGGCGCTCCTAGAACTCAGACTTAAACCGCCCAAACCCTAAAGCCCAAAGCCTAACCCTGAACCCGAAGCCCTGCACACTAAAACACGAACTCGAACATACCATGCGTTGATCGACATGTAGACTCGAAAACCCTAAACAGCACCCCGCTACTGTAAACCCAATGTCTCTAAACCCTAACCCCAGACCCCAGACCCAAACCCTAAACCACAAACCCTAAACCCTAAACCCAAAGCCTGGACACGCAATTCTGAGCAGTTGACGGCGCCCCAAGGCGTTGAGAGGACTCGCCTGGGCTGGCTGGCTTTGGGGGGCTCTCGGGTTTAGGGCCTAAAGATTAGGGTCTAGGGCTTCAGGGGGCTTCAGGGTTTTGGGGTTCTAAGGTTTCGGGCTCAGGGTTTTGAATGGTTCAGGATTTTGATTGAGTTTAGAGGCATTGGCGACATACGGCCCAGGGGACGGGTTTCAGGGCGGGAAGAGTTCGGGTGCTTAGACCCTAAACCCTAAACCCTAAACCCTAAGCCCTAAACCCTAAACCCTAAACCCTAAACTTAGGGCTTCGGGCCTCCGGTTTCTCTCCGGTGGCTTGCGATCAAGAGCCATGGTCCCTGTTTTTGTACAGGCTCGTGAAGGTCTCCGGGCCCTAAACCCTAATCCCGGTTACCCTAAACCGCCTAAACCCTAAACAAGGGCTCAACGTGCTTCATGTTATTGGTCTTGTTTTCTTCTTCTTTTGGGCAGGGGAAGCCACAGGGGGAGGTCGATTTGGCAGGTGGAAGCCTGCCGAAACCCGAAGCTCCAAAATCTCAAACGCGGAGGCTGGGTAGGGTTTAACTCACACGCTGAAACCTCGCCCTTCAGCCTTCTGCCTACGAGCAAGCTTCAGGTAGCCCAACAGGGCCCAGATGAACCTCAAAAGCCCCCCGAAAGATGCTCGACGCAGCTAAGCTGCGCCAGCCCAGGCAGCACGGCTCGTTGAGACATCTCCATGGCACGCCCATGCTGCCTTCGCAAAACGCTCGGGACGAGTCCAATATAGATACCTTTCATGCAAAAAAAGAAACTGAACACAACATACGCCTACAGCAAAATCGGTATACACATACAGATGTATCTACAGAAGGATTATGAAAAACAGTGGAACTATTGGCAATTATTCCTGCTGCTGTATCAGGCTCAGGCATTTGGTGGGGGGGGGGGGGGGGTCGCTCAACCCGGAGCCTGAAGACCTACAACCCCCCCCCCCCCCCCCCATGCTCCTATTTACAAACGTCACACCCTGATACTCACCCTTTCAGCCATATACCCGAAAAACCCTTAGAAATTCTGAAGCCTATAAACCCCAAAAGCCCTAAACCCTAACCATGAAGCCCTAGATGTTGGGGTTTGGGGCTTAGGGCTAGGCCCCAGAAGGCGTAAACCATCCAACCATACAAGCCCTAAACCCAAAAATGCCAAAGCCCAATGCCCCAAAGCATAAGCAACGGACTTTGTGGCTGGCGGCACACGTCATAAAACCCTAAACCCTAAACCCTAAAAACCCTAAACACCCTAAACACCCTAAACCCAACAAACCCTAAACACCCTAAACCCTAAAACCCCATGTGGCCTGTCATGGAGTGGCGACTCGAAGTGCGCCAGCTCATGAGCAAAGCTGACGGACCAGAAGCTGACTGCCTGCGCATCTTGAATCTAAGAATACCAGGATGGTATTTAGGAATTAGGGTTTAGGGCCTTATAATCCCCAAAAAGGCCCTTTTAAGGGAATATAGGGTATGATCGCCCATCCTGGTAAGTCAACGTACCCCAAACCCAAACCCCTTAACCTCCAAAAGCAGAGTATAAGGAAGGATTTTACCCACATCCCTTAATGTCGTTTAAGGGGTATGCCCACAGGGCATGTTGAATATTTCTTGGATTGAGCCATGTTGGTATACTGCTCTAGGACGCTAGGCTTAGCGTTATAGTTATAATGCTTGGGGCGTTAATTCCTTGAATGGGATCCGAAAGAGGAATTGTATTCTATCCCCAGGGCCACACCGGCATCCCTGACATCAACCGTTTTGTACACCGATGTAAGGATTGTGCTAGGGGTGGGGAGTGCTTTAAAGGGCTTGCGGTACTTTGGGAATTATCAACCCCTTCTGTTCACCAGGACTCCTGTTACAGCCCCAAGAACTTCGAACCTTATCGGGGCTGATAGGGCTAATGGCTAAGAGCTTAGCCGGTTTCAGGTTTGGGGGTTTGTCTAAGGCTCCATCCCTAGACACTTTGAAGCCCTGAAAGAGCCCAGTGTGGTCTCGGGTTAAACTTGGAGTTTAGGGTAAACATGTCACATACATAGTCTAGCTGAATTCGCGAGGATCCCAGATTTGACATGTCCGTTGCGCACCCGCCCATGTTCTGATAATTGTAACGTACGATCCGTCAACGGCAGAGGGGTTGGTCTCTGAGGATTTGGGGGTCTAAGTCTTCCAGTCGCTTGGGGGCCTTGGGGGCCCAAATGAACCCTAAAATTGGGCCTTTACTCCTGTAATCCCTATTCAGGTATATCAGCCAGAAACCCCACAGTCTGTTTCACATCACGCGCCTCCTCCCAGTTGCTCGCATGGTTCTCCTGGAACCAATGTTTAGGGTTTGGGGTTTAGGGGGCAGACAAGCATGAAGATCTTGCAGCTAGGGCCTCCGGTGTCTGTTCTTGCGTACGGAATACCGAGAGTATCTATGTGTCGGGTCTTCCCTGGCGTATCAAAGAGGGTCAGGCAGGGCCTCTAGGGATCCCTGCAAGAAGCTCGCCAATCTCTTGCTACAGAACAGCCAGATACCAGTAGCTCTGCACTCCAACCGCTAAGCTCGATTCTTGGGTGGAAAGCCTCTAGTTTCGGGTTTTTTCCAGTCCACCCTAAGGCTCTTTTGAACCCCAATGTAGGTATGATTTGTATGCTTGGAGCCTTAGGGTTCAGGCTTTCCGAAAGGGACGGAAGCCGTTCACGCGCAGCGCACTTTTGAAATCCAGTGCTCAGCGACATCGCGCGGCTCCTCCCCAGGGACCCCGGAAGACCCAATCAGCCACTCCGGGGCCCACTGAAACTTGGGCCACTTTGGCGGTTCATGGGCACGAGAAAGTAGGGTTCTGAGTAGGGCAACTATGGTTTTAACCGTATAACCCCTTATTTTGCAGGGTACTTATAAGTAGGGTTCAAATGGGCTCTAAGTAGGGAATTAGGGTGTTCAACGCCTTAGCAACCTCTAATCTTATACGTACCCATATGAACCTCCAAGCACCCTCCCGCTGCGCTCACGAAGCCAGCGCCGAGACTCCTGCGATAGGGGTGGAGCAGCCCAGGAGCCCTCCAAGGAACACTAAGACCACAATGTGCTCAGTGTGGGATTTTTTTTGGGGGATCCTATGCTGCCTTTCTACGACTGTGTGTGTGTATGTAGTTTTTGCGATGAGTAAGTTACCAACTCTGCAACCGGATCACAGCTTGGGTATTCTGAAATCATAGGCCCGCACCCTCTGCCCAAACCCTAGGCCCTAGGCACGTAAACTCGAAGGGACTTGGGATTTATAACTGCAAGAAGCAATCATAGACTATTCTAATTCTCTTTATGAGGATCAAGAATATTACACCCTAAACCCTAAACCCTAAACCCCAAACCCGAAACCCGAAACCCTAAACCCTAAACCCGAAACCTATTGCTTCTAAACCGACTTGAAGCAGCCTTGATCACTTCATCGGTTGTCCTCAGCAAGCCCGTGATGCAGCGGATGGAAGCTCGATGACGCCTTACGGAGGCAGGGGCTGAAGGTTTGGGGGTTGGGGGGGTTAGGGTTTAGGGTTTAGGGTTTCGGGTTTAGGGGGGGTTTCGGTAACAGGGTTTAAGGTGCTGTGAAAGTCTGACGTCGTGGCTTCTGGCTTTCGGGGGCAGAACTCTAAGGGTAGTTAGCTACCTGGTGCCTTAGTATGGGCCTTTAGAAGGGTACAACTTACATGCCCCTCATTTTTTCCCCTATACAAACTGACGGCCCATACATCAGAACCCCTGTCGAGTAGGTTAGGGACCATATTAAGGGCCCATGCAACTACCCTCAGAAGAAGGTAGGGAGCTCTCTAACATGGTCCCCTTCTGGGGTTTCTACTATGACACAGAGCCTTGTGTTGAGGAGTCCCAAAAGGGACCCGTACATTAGAGAACTAAACCCTTAACCCAAAACCTATCTGAATGCCCAAGCCCAACACCCTAAGCCTAACACGTGTCTGAAGAGGTTCGGCGACTAGGCTTAGGGGTTCATCGGGTTTAGGGTTTAAGCGTTCAGGGCTTTAAGGTTCTAGGGCTTAGGCTTCATGATTTCGGGTGGTTCAAGCGGCCACCGCCAGAAGGTTCCAATAAATTGTCGTGAACATGGGAGACCCTGAAGAGTCATTAGGGTTTCCTTTGTATACCCAAAAAAGAGACACCTAACCTTCGAACAGCACCCCCCTCCCCCCTCCCCAAATGGAACAGTAGAACTGTCAACTTCATCCTGAACCCTGCAAGCCGTCATTGTGCAATTCACACCATGGCGGGGAGTGCTTCCGGGTTTTGGCGCTATTCTGTTTCTTTGGGGACCACATGAACCCTAAAAAATTGGGGTCATGTGCCCTTCACTACTATATTCCTACTAAGGTATAAGAACCCTAAAATTGGGGTCATGTACCCTTGAGCCATAAACCCACGTTTAGGGGGAGAACGGAGCCCATCTGGGTTCCAAGGCGCCCGTTGGCACCAGTCAGGTTCACACAACGAGCTCCGTGGCGGAAATGGTGGCCGCACAGTTGGAACCATCCTGCCAATTTCTACCCTAACCCTAAACCCTAAACCCTAAACCCTAAACCCTAAACCCTAAACCCTAAACCCTAAACCCTAAACCCTAAACCCTAAACCCTAAACCCTAAACCCTAAACCCTAAACCTAAACCTAAACCTTGAAGCTCTAAAAGGTCTATAATGGAGGCTCGCGGTCCCTCGAGTTGGGAGTCGTGACACAGGGACTGTCCGTGACTTAACCGCATACCGCAACCCCTCCTTGGGGACGAAATGAACCCTCAAATTTGGGGTCAAATACCCTGACTACTATAACTCCTATTAAGGTAGATGAAACCCTAAACCCTAAACCCTAAACCCTTTTAGGGTTCATGTCGTCCCCGAGCCAAATTCCACGAAAGCAGGCCGACGCGAGCCTCGTAGCAATGGAACCTCGGCGGCCCACGAGCAGAGGCTGGTTGGGTTTAGGGTTTAGGGTTTAGGGTTTAGGGTTTAGGGTTTAGGGTTCAGGGTTCAAGGTTCAGGGTTCAGGGTTCAGGGTTCAGGGTTCAGGGTTCAGGGTTCAGGGTTCAGGGTTTAGGGTTTAGGGTTTAGGGTTTAGGGTTTAGGTTTTTTTTCTTTTTTTTATGGTTTAGGGTTTAGGGTTTAGGTTTAGGGAAAGAAGGCTTTGGGATTTGTAGCGCAGGGCCCGGTATGCCCTCACGTCGAAAAGCCTGCCAAAACCAGGAGAAAGCTGCTGGGAGTCCGATTTTTCTGCGGTGGAGTGGTGGTCAGTTGAAGACATGCTTGCAATGCAAACTCAGTGCCCAAGCGATCTCTTTCTTGAGGCTCTAGGTTGAGGGTCTAGGGTTTAGGGTTTATAGGGTTCAAACTTTGCCGTCTGTCGGGCGCATTTAGCGTGTGTCCATCCTTTGTGGAAAGCTTTCTGGATTTGTAGGTTCAGGAGACTAGGCTTTCCGGCCCTCTGCCCGCAAGGGCTCCATAAAGGAATCTCAAAACCTTAAGCCCCGAAGGCTACGAGCTCCGCCTCTCTCTCTCTCTCTCTCTCTCTCTCTCTCTCTCGAACCCTAAACTCATGAGCTCCCATTCGACATCACAGGAGGGTTCACGGGGGAATGCTGGTTTGTTGTTGGGATTGAGGTCTATAGGGCCTACCCCAGCCCACCCCTAGACCCTAAACCCTAGCCCTAAACCCTAAACCATAGCCCTAAACCCTAAACCCCAAACTCCTTCGTTCAACAAAAAGCCAATCCTTGAAAGCCGAGCAGCTGGTTGTGCTTCTCCGGCGCCGTGAAGTCCTTCACTGTGGCCCAGGTGCAGCCGTCCTTCAGGGTTTAGGGTTTAGGGTTCAGGATGGTTTAGGGTTTAGGGTTTAGGGTTTAGGGTTTAGGGTTTAGGGTTTAGGGTTTAGGTGTTAGGGTTTAGGGTTTGGGGTTTGGGGTTTAGGGTTTAGGTATAGGGTTTAGGGTTTAGGGCTTAGGGGTTAGGGGTTTAGGGTTTAGGGTTTGGGGGTTCCTCCCTAGACTCCTAGTCAGCGAGGTCTCTCTCAAGCCCCGACTTTGATCTAAACCCTAATGCCCACGACCTCATAGCCCTCAAACCCTTAACCGTTTCACAGAGGGTGTGGGGGGTGACTGGACGCTTCCAAGCCCGGGTACCTCAGGTAGAGGCCCTAAACCCTAACCACTCATTCTTGACATCTCTCTTTCTGTTGCAGCCTCAGCCTATAGTGTTGCTTGTGAGAAGGGGTTGTGCCCGAAATCATTCTCCGCTAAACCGTGAAAGCCAAAACCCTGAACCACCCGAAGCACCTCAACCCTCAGCCTCGTCACAAAAGAAACCCTCAGCCCTAAACCCTAGACCCTAAACGTGAGCCCTCAATCCCAAACCCCAATCCCCCAAACCCTAAACCCTAAACCCTAAACCCTAAACCCCAAAACCCTAACCCCAAACCCCCCTCCAGTTCTCCCCAGGGCCTGCTCCAGCGCCAAAGCCCCGCTCTGCACGCGGAAGAAGCCCTGCTCACCCCAGTACTCACCTTGGGAGTTCAGGGCTTAGGGTTTAGGGTTTAGGGTTTAGGGTTAGGGTTTAGCTTTACAGGGATTAGGGTTTCAGTGTTTGGGGGGGGGGGGGGGTGGGGGGGACTTAGGGTTTAGGGGTTCAGGCTTGCGAGTTTAGGATGTAGGGCCTAGGGTTTCCGGGATTCAGGGTTTCGAGATCTGGGTTTGTGTAAGGTTCAGGGTGTCGGCAGTTTAGGGTGTGTTGTACAAGATGGGATTTAAGACTGAGGGTTTTGTACTTAGGATGCGAGCTCCAGGTCTTAATTGTTCTGCCATGGCGCCCCAGGAATTCCGTACTTGCCAATAGAAGCCCAGCTTCTCATCGGTTCCCCAGCCCACAACGGAGATTGTGTGGTCGGTGTCTTTGGACCTGCAAAAGATATGCTGCAAAACGGGCCAGGAGAGAGAAGGAGATGCACCAACATCCGGCCCAAACCCCCACACAAAGTTCACCCGGAGCCGAGGGAATGAGCCAGCCATCTATACAGCAATAACCTAGAAGGCTGGAGGGCTCCTTGTTTCCACTTTACGCACCATCAAGCAGTCGAAATCCAACTATGTGCCAAACTCCTACTTCTGAGGGAGGCACCAAGCCACGCAGGCAGGGGCAAAAGCAAACGCAAGAGGCACTGCGCGCGAAGGAAAATTCAAGGTGCCCCGGCCAGGGCGGAGGCCTCTGTCCGGCGGTGTAGTGCCGCCCAGGGACCCACAAAAGGCTAGCAAAATATGCTGAATTTCTAGACCTCCAGCAAAGCGGTGCAGACGCCTGTGAAGAGCCCTGACCGTGTGGGGCCGGCGTACAGGCGGGCAATGTCTGCCGGTCCTCCAAAGGTCGTCTGCGAAGGATACTTGCTTTTCCACTGCGGGGCAAGGTGGCCCTCCATGGCAGAGTAGCAACACATGAAGAGAAGCCGCCGGGTGTTTTGGGCCCCTATGGCCTCGAGTTTTTGAATGGTTTCCGTGGCCGTGATGCTCTGGCCTTGGTTATTAGAGAGCGTCGAGTTATCCTCGCCACCGTGTCCGAAACAGATGACCACATCCTCCTTCTCGCATGTGTAGTCATCGTTTCTGTAGATGATTTTGATCTCCTGAACCTCTGCTGCCACGTTCTCAGGAAGTGACTTCTTCGACGACGCTGCCAAAGCTTTTTGAAAGTCGCTGGACATCTGATCCAGATCGCAGCTCTCGTCAGGCTTGAAAGGAATGACGATGATCAAGTTTGCCATTTCAAAGAAAAGCCCTAAGAAGCCCTACAAGTGCCTGAACCTAGGAAGCCACCGCGTTGAGCCAAAATGGTTACGGCACCCGACATCACACGCTCAACCCCCGAATGATCCTGAAACAGTGTCTATATATATATACATATATAAAGCAGCAATCCCACACACGCTCTGAACCAAAATCCCTAAGACCTTGGAAGCCTAAACCCTGAACCCCTGAAGCTCTTCCCCCCACAGGCTTTGTGGTGACGATGCCACCCGTGTAGTTCAGGATAGGCACGGCGTCGACGTTACAGGCTATGGGCCCACGGTTGAAGATCTCCTTCATCATGGCATCCTTACCCTGGATGGAGCCTTTGGTGTGGGGCCAGTCGGTTTAGGGTTTAGGTTAGGGATGCTGGGACATGTCGGGTTTGAGCCGGGGGGGGGGGGGGGGGTTGTAGGGAGCGATCGCTAGTCTTAATTGAGAGCACCCTGGAGGGCCAGATAACATGAAATAAAGGGCAGGTAGCCCGTGTTGTGTCCAAAAACGTCCAAACAAAAACCCACACAACGTAAACAAGAAGTACCTGGGACTCTATTTACGTACAGTTTAGTAGTAGCTACCTTTAATTTGTACGTACAGTTTAGTAGTAGCTACCTTTAATTTGTAGGTATAACCCATAAAACTGTAGGTAAAGAGGGTCCCAGGTAGCTCCCATGAACAGCTCAGCAGCCGTATTCGGCGACGGTGGCGTTGGGATACTTCGCAAGACCTCAGTTCTTGCCGGCGAGTTACAGGGTTCTTAAGGGAGGGGGGTCAAGGGGGGTATTTAACCCAAGGTTCCCCAATACTCCGTAAGGCTCCCTAAGCTTCCGACATGCATCTTTCGCAAGAAACAATGCCTAGTCGTGGGAACCTCTGTACTCTAAAGCGTTCTGTCCTGTAGTTTGAGTACTCAGTTTAGGGTTGAGCGTTGCGGAAGGGTTGAGGGCTTAGGGTTTTCTGAGTGCAAGGTCCTTTAGATTGGAATCTTAAACCTTATGTGGCAAACTAACTGTCAGCTGTCGACTCTCGCGAAGTCGGGGAGGTAGTTGTCGTCGTAGCCTCCTAAAAACCCACAAGCCGCCCGGACCCTAAATCTGCACTTTTGGGTCTGGGTAGACCGACAAAAACTACTACTATAGGGCGTCTAGGAGCCAGAAGTCTTCGAACCCTGAGACCAGGTTAATACGTCATTAGCTGGTACCCGCCATGTTTTCCCTGCACACCAGACTAGTCCAAGAAGGGATACAGAGTTGGATCCTGCCATACAAGTGCGTCTTGGCTTCTTCAAACGACCTTTAAAAGCCCACAACGAAGCCAAGCTGCCCACGCATTTCTTGCCGAAGGTTGCGCAGGTGCGCTGCACGTTTTCGGCGGTGCATGTGAAGTCCATAGCCTGCAGGGAAACAACAGCTACACCTGTGGTTTACATGTTGGGGCTTGTTCACGGCCTAGCCTAGCAGGTCTTGTAGGACTTTGCTTCAGTCTTGGGCGCTTGCCTGGACACGACAGATTGAGCCTTAGCCGTAGCCCGAAACCCTGAACCCTCAACTCCCACTCCTGCAACACACGAGCTGTTTGTCGGTCAAGAGGGTTTATATGATATCCACTCAGCTGTTCTTGGCACCCATGGTGCCTCTTCAATAAATGAACGTCCAGTTCGGAAATTAATTCTCAAAGAGGGGCCAGGCTTGGGTCAGGGTCGTAGGATTGGGGTCTGGGGGTTGCAATTGCTCTATAGACCGTCAACCCTCAACAGTAAAGACCTACAACAGAAGCGACACTTCTTTAACCCTTAAGCCCTGGAAGCTGAAAAAACAGCAACCTCTCAAATCCCAACAGCTGCAAAGACCCCGAGCCCAAACCCCCTGAGTGCCATGAAGGCTTCGGGTTTAGGGTTTAGGGGTTTAGGGGTTTAGGGGTTTAGGGGCCTACCCCCCGCAACCTGCACTCTTACAAGCCATGAACCCTTTTTCGTGTTTCGAGTTGTCGGTTTCAGGGGCCAGCTGAGGGTCTACTTGAGAGCTTCGGGGCCGAGCTTTGTTTGGTGTGGGTGCTCTTTTGGGTTTGTGAGGGTTTCAGAGCTGGGAAGTTTAGGGTTTAGGGTTTAGGGTTTAGGGTTTAGGGTTTAGGGGGGTTTAGGGTTTCTAAAGTGCTTTCGGGGGGCTCTTGGGGTGCTGGGAATTGTCGTCGGGCTTTGGGCTGTTTCGAGTGTTGAGGTTTTTTTCAGTAGTGGACGTTTTTGAAGGATCCTTCAGACCCTAAACTCTAAACCCTAAACCCTAAACCCTAAACCCTAAACCCTAAACCCTAAACCCTAAACCCTAAACCCTCGCTCGTTGTTCGGATGTTAGGGGCTCTCCGAGCTTCAGGGATGTTTAGAGACTCAGGGTGTGTGAGGTTTGGGGGCTTTTTAGGGTTTTTGAAGCATGTCCGCGATCGCCAAGCTTGTCAACCCATATATCTATCTGTCAATGCGGCTTGGGGCTTGCTTTCGTGCTCAGAATGTTTAGAGGTTAATTAAGGGCGACCTTAACCCTCACCCACCAGACCCATGCACAAGCTGGGGGCAATCAACGCCCCTTCTTTTCTAGGAAAGGTGGTGGTCGTCGTGGTCGTGGCTGTGGCCGTGGCCGTGATCGTCGCTGGTCGTGGTCGTCGGGGTCGCGGTGGTCGTGGTTGTGGTCACGGTCGTCGTCGTCGTTGTCGTGGTCGACGTTGTGGTTGTCGTGTCCTTCATGTCTTCATGGCCAAGGCCGTGCTTCCACTTCCAAACCTCGGCTTTCGCCTTGGCTTTCGCCTTCGCTTTTGCCACTGCTACTTGCAACTTGTGCTCGGGGGGGCCCTTGGCGACCTGCAAGCTTGACATCGCATCCACGGGCAGCAAAGTGCATGCGTCTGCAGGAGGCTCTTCGGCGACTCCTGCTGTATTGCGCAGCTGCGCAAGCATGAACATGAGCTGCAAGTGAAGGCCTATCGCTCGCACCATGGCGTCCAAAGCTCTGGGACAGAATCCACAGGGCTTTTGAGGCTTAACTAGGCTTCTGCAGGTTAGGGCTCCGGGCTTTCGTGGTTCAGGGTTTTAGGGACAAATGCTGCATGAAACTCAGTTTTGAGGATTACTTGAAGGTTCATGGGTAGGCCTAAGCCGTGCTATGATCTGTGAAACCTCCGTGATTGAGGATGTGAGAGATGGACATAGCGCAAGGAAACGAGGTGTTCGGCTCTTCCAGTTTTCGCTATAAGTCCAAAACATGTAGCGGAACTTCTACAGTCCCACAGAAGAGAAAGCATGCACACAATGTCTTCATCATGCTCGTGAGGCGAAGTACCCAGCAGGAAGACAATATGCTAAACGGTTCCATTCCAAACAGTCCTGTAAACGATGCACCTGTAAACGATGCAAACTTCCATTTCCCTCCCTCCCTCCCTCCCTGCTCCCTCCCTCCCTCCCTCCCTCCCTCCCTCCCTCCCTCCCACAAAAAGCCAACAATGATCCAAGTCAGCATCATCATCATAAGCTGCAGCATCATCGTCATCACCATCATCATCCTTCTCATTAGTCAAGACCAACAGGCCAAAAGGAACAATAAGAAGTAGCAACTGAATTCTAAACAGCTAAACCCTGAAGTCCAGCAACAACACAGCACTTGCAGGCCTTGCAGAAGCCCGCGTCCGAATCCTTCGAGCAGGCCAGGTACGGCTGACCTCAAGGTTTAGGGTTTAGGGTTTAGGTTTTAGGGTTTAGGGTTCGGGGCTTAAGCGCTAATAAAGGCTTGCTAGCTCACAGGGTTATTTCAGCCCCCAGAGGTATGTCAGATTGGTGGATGGCCAGAGATCCAGCAACCCCTCCCCAATGGGATGCTTAGGAAGTCTAACCCTAAACCCTAAACCCTAAACCCTATTTATGGAACTCCTGAACCAACAATTGAAGATGAAAAAGAGGCTCTGAGGTTGAAAAGGGGTCAGGCCCATGTCAAGTCCCGCCCTCTCCTCCCGAAAACTCCACCGAAGGTTAGGGTGCAGGGCTTAGGGTTTAGGGTTTAGGGTTTAGAGTTTAGGGTTTAGGCTGACAAAACACAAAAATGGCCACAACCCAAAGCGGGAAAAAAACTGGGGTGCGTGTGGCCGCTGAAGCGTTTAGGGTGCACGGGCCGGGCAGGATCTCACAGACACGTCATCTCGAGTTCGCGCCGATTCTGGGTTACTGTTGGGAAACCTACAGTATGTTGGAGGTGTAAAAAGGACCAGAGTACATATTTGGGAATTTGGCACCTTATGTTCCCCTCTGCAAACGATTACCGAATTATATACAAAGTACCTGATTCCCTACTTCGAAACTACCGAGATTTGTGTAGGTTACCTTGGACTCGTGTCTGGGTTTTCTAATCGCCAAAACCAACAAAAGCCTTCTCAGCCCCCTGACATTCCCTTTCGGGATGAGCGGGATCAGCCAAGCCGCCAGTGGTGTAGCTGATGCCTGGGCGGTCATCAGGCACCCCAGTGTTCCTGTTAGCCCCGAAACCCAAACGACAGAAGTAAACCGTAGCCCTGCTAGTGTCAGCCCCCAAAACCCCAGCTCCAACCTGTACAAGCCCTCAAAACCCTAAACCCTAAACCCTAAACCCCAAACCCCAAACCCTAAACCCCAAACCCTAAACCCCTGTCTGCGTGCTGGCCAAATGCCACTACCAGTCTTGTCGCTGATCTCCTTCAGCCACTGGTACGCCGAGTTGGGCTCACCACCTACGCTCGCAGCTTTGACCCTTCCCTAAACCCTCCACTCAACCCCAAACCCCTTAACTTAACGGTTCAGGGTTCAGGGTTCAAGGTTCAGGGCTCAGGGCTTAGGGTTTAGGGTTTAGGGTACTCAACCCAAAACGCCTCTCTTGACCCCTGATTAAGGGCTCAAGACACGTTCGAAGAGGGAATCTCTTTTTCGTGGGGGAGAAGTGGCTTAGGAAGGTGGGGCCTAAACGTACAACAACTCCCTGTACGATCCATGGCCCGCAGTGGGCTGAAGGTGACGGGTGTATAGGACACAGGTGAGGCAACACGCACTGCCTGCAGGCACAACTCCCTCCCGAACTGCATATGCCCCAAACCCAGAATCGAAACCCAAAAAACTCCCCTGCCCAGGGTGTGGGGAGGGGGGGGGGGGTTGTTTTGCTTCTTGGGGGAGAGGGGGGGGGGGAAGTTTTTAGTAAGCTAAACCTTGAACCTCAAAGCACCCTACACTCTCAACCCTTTGACCGCCTTCGCAGGTTCCGGCGGTGCCACAGTTCATCAGGTACTGCACGGAAAGCTGGATGTCAATGCCTGCGATCCATCTTTGGGACGGGCCTGCATAGGTTTTAGGGCTTGGGTCTTAGGGAGTGCATAGCGGCAGAGACCGCAAAGAATGAGGCCGGGACGGTGGATACAGCTTGCATACAAGACAGCGCACATGAAGCGCATCTCATGTACCATACGTCTCGAAACATCTGCATTTCTGTCAGCGAAGTAATCTCGATGTAGGTCAATTCATTGTGGTGACAGCAACGTTGGGTTAAAGCTCCTTTGCACCACCCCAAAACATACCTCTCAACAAAATTGGCAAATTCAGCCGGACCCAAACATGTTCGAATCCTTACCACAGCACTTGACAGCTCGACGCCCAATACCCGAAACCGCAGAACGGACATGATCTGACATGGGCATTTTGGCAAAATAGCGGTCCTCTCATTTGCCCGAAATACTATATTCTAAAGGAACCCCAAACAAGCGTTACCCCAATTTTCCGACAAGGGTTTAAAATGGGTCTTGCAGCGGGTCCGAGAAAATCTTCAGCCTGCACAAAAACAAGAATACCTAAACCCTAAACCCTAAACCCTGAACCCTAAACCCTAAACCCTGAACCCTAAAAACCCTAAACCCTGACCCTATGTGCAGGTCCTTCGGCTTTGCGCGCAATTTTGATCCGGTCTGCCAGAGCAGACATGCTGCCCTGCGTTGTGGGCCGGTGTGGGGGAGGGGGGGGGGGGACGGGTGTACAGGGCCTGGAGCCTAGTAAGCCCTAAACCCTAAGCCTTAAGCCCTTAACAAACTAGGGCATGGGAGTCGAGGGTCTAGATGTTGGCAAGCTAGAGCCCAACTTGAACAAGTCTCTTTACCTCTATCCCTATTTAACTAGGATGGCCCCTGAAACCCTCTGAAATATATTCCTGCATAGGATCCTCTGAAGCCAAATCAGAAAATATAGAAAATGTCCCAAGGGCCTACCTAGTTAAGCGTAAGGTAACCCTAAACCCTAAACCCGAAACCCCTTTCCTCAGCAGAACTTAGCGCACCACAAGCAGTGAGCATGTTCTTTCATAAGGGCCTTAGGGTTTAAGGTTCAGGGTTTAGGGTTTGGGGTTCAGGGTTTAGGGTTTAGGGTTTGGGGTTCAGGGTTCACAGATGCTCTAGACGTGATAAGCCTGCATGCTCTGAACTATGAGCCCTCGAGACGCACCTCGAGTCTCGAGGGCTCAACCCTAAACCCTAAACCCCCAATACCCAACAATCCGAAGCCCTAAGCTCCCTAAACGTGTTGCTTTGGGGCTTTTTGGGGCTTCGGGATCGAACCTTGGTGGAGGTCCCATGCGGTCAGAACCCACCTAGAACTTCCGACACTTGCAAAGACATAGGCGGCTGAACCCAAAGTCGTAAATGCTAAAGCCCTGAACAGGCCCTTAACCCTAAACCTCCATGGGGGTTTCGGAAAAAAGGGGTACCCTTTTTGCGGGTCCCTTTAAGGGGATTCTTGTCTATTTGGCGCATAAACGGGGTACGCCTTTTTGGGAGGAGGGCCCCTCAGCAAGTGCTCAATGCGAAAAGCCGAACGCGAAGCTTGCAGGCTCTGGGGGCCTTGGAATTGAGTTAAGGTTGAAAAGGCTTAGGGTTTAGGTTTTAGGGTTTGGAGAGTGTTTCGGGTTTAGGGCTAGGGTTTAGGGTGTTACCAGGGCAACAGACCAGCCCGCCTGGGCCCAGCAGGAGCCGCAGTACTGTGGGATGTGCTGGTTGACCGAGATGGTGCAGTAACTCTTGCCATCCTGAGAAACTCAGGGGGTAGGTTTAGGGTTTAGGGTTTAGGGTTTAGGGTTTAGGGTTTAGGGTTTAGGGTTTAGGGTTTAGGGTTTAGGGTTTAGGGTTTAGGGTTTAGGGTTTAGGGTTTAGGGAGTCACATGGTGCGTTAGCATGGTCCCTTTCCATCTTTGAAGGGTTCCGATGTATGGGCCCTTGGGTTGTACAGGGCATTATAAGGGGTATATAGGGGCTCCCAATTTTTCGGGCCCATATTAAGGGACCATGTAACTACCCTAAGAGTTTAGGGATACATGGTTGGTTGTTGGCTATTGGGTATTGGTTATTTGCTGTTGTCATTGTGATGAGTTTTGTTGTTGTGATCGTTTCGTTGACGATAGTACCATGAGCAATAACATTATCGGCCTCAGCAAGGTCGAGTGCTCCGAGCTGACGTGTCTTAGGGTTTCGATGGGATGGGAGGCCTAAACCCAAAATCTCAACAACCCTAACCCAAAACATTAAACCTAAACCCTCAACCCTAAACTAGGCCTTGTAAACCCTAAACCCAGAAACCCTCAACCCTAACCCTAAGCCCTACACCCTAAACCAAAACCATCAAAAACCAAAAGCCGCCCCGGCCGCCTTGTCGCACCAGGAAAAGGTCTTCGGCAAGTCCTCGGCGAGGTCGGGCAAGAGCCTGAGCTGGCTGGTTCTCGGTAGAGAATGAGGGTTTAGGGTTTAGGGTTTAGGGTTTAGGGTTCCCTCATCCCCTACTAAGAACCAGGGGTGAAGGATACCAAGGCTTTCGGGGGGACTCCGGAGGCTTTTGGAACGTTTGGGGCTTCGGGTGGAACTCTGATGTACTTCCCTGGGTCATCTACTTAGGGTTTTGGATTTGGGGTTATTTGGGGTTTAGGGTAGGTGAAGTATGGGATATAGATGCAGGGTTTAGGGTTTAGGGCTTAGGGCTTAGGGTTTAGGGTTTAAGGGGCTCACGCATGAAGGGTCGGCCCTGCTACCGGGCACGAGTGCGGATTTCACCCCTAAACCCTAAACCCTAAACCCTAGACCCGAAACCCTGAACCCTAAACCCCAAACCCTAAACCCTAAAGTGTGCGGCTTTGGGTTCACGGTTTGAAGGGCTTACACAGGGGGCGTATGGGGTTATCGGGTTTGGGCTCTTGGGGCCGTATAGGGCTCCGGAGCTTTTGGGCGGGGGGATGCTCTTCGCAGCGACAAGGTCCCAAACACCTGCCCACTATTTGCTTAAGAAGCCCAAAAGAATAAAAACAATAATCCCCATATTGCCCTTAATAAGGAAGCATATTCTTTTTTTTTTTTTTGGGGGGGGGTTCTTAAGCAATTAGTAGCTACACGGGAACCTCTCAACAACTCAGTCTCCGGGGCCCAAAGAATGGAAAGAGTGCATGTATCTAACAAGGCCTACCTAGTTCTAGTGGCCTTCAGAGGGGATCCTCTGAAATATCGAAACCCAGCCGAAGCACTCGTGCGATGATGGGCTGGAGGAGTTGCCGCGCCACTGGAATCCTGTGCTTTTGCTGGAGGATCTCTTTCACAATAGCGTTCCCCTCATGGACAAGCCTTGATACATCACAATTCATACCGACCCGAGAAGGATAAAGCATAACCAATGGGGGGCCCTATCATAGAACAACCTTGGGATGTTCCGGCTTCAGGGCTTAGGGTTCCTAAGAGTGCCATCCCGCAGCCATTTCAGAGGTTGGGAACCACCCAGAGAAACCAGAGAGAGAGAGAGAGAGAGAGAGAGAGCAATCACGCCAGTCTGAAAGATCCTAACATAAAATTCTGATGTCATTGCAGTGTTTTTTATGGTATTGCTTTCTTTTAATGAATATATTGTTACATTATTATATTTTTCACTACTATATATTTGAAAAGGCTTGCGATCCTGCAAGCCTTGAATGGCGGAGTCCTCTGCGCTCCACTTCCTCACGCTTCCACAACTCCGACTTGCGCGGGGACGGAGCGGCGACCGGCGCGTCTGCACAACCAGGGCGGCAAGCACTTTCGGGTTTAGGGTTTAGGGTGGTCTGGTAGACCCCTTTTGGGGCGTTATGTGCCTAATCTTACAGACATCAGTGTGCATGCGAAAGCCAGGCAACAAGCTCGTGATCTCTGAGACTCTAGCCCCTGAAGCCCATAGACCTTTGGGTTTTGTGGGCCCTTTTTTTGAAGAACCGGGTTTTGGGTTTAGGGTTTAACTGACAGTGATATCCAGGCCATGACTGAAGTCTATCTAACTTAACAGGGGACCCTTCTTGATGGCGTCTCCCAGCCTTTCGACTGCGCCTTGCAGTTCTCTCCTCCCTCGTAGCAGTGGATCTCATTGTTCTTCTCCGGCGCCGTGTACCTCGGCAGATGTGTGCACACTGGGCGCCTGGAACCCTCAACCCTAAACCCAACACCCAGTTCATAGCCCAATTGCTGAAGCCTAAACCCTGAACCCTGAACCCTCAACCCTCAACCCTCAACGGGTGGGGAGTGTAGTCGTGAGTAGTCGGGGATGCTATTTGGCCCCATAACCCTAAGTTCCCTGCCTAAACCCTCAACCCTCCACCCCCAACCCTGAACCCTAAACCCCAAACCCGAAACCCTAAACCTGCGAGCGGAAGGTGCTGGTCTGGCACCGCCCAAGTGCAGCTGCGCTCGAGGGCCAGCGCGCCGCTCTTCACGCGCACGTAGCCGTTCTCACCCCAGTACCTGGGGGAATATGGCAGAGAAGCTCCGGTTTGGGGCGATTTGACATTTGGGGGCAGTACCTTCTTTAAAGGGTTCTTAAGTACGGGTCCTTGGGTTGTATAGGTTTTATAGGGGCATATAAAGGGGTCCCGTTTAAGGGCCCATACTAAGGGACCGTACCATCCATGCAACTACCTTGAGATTTGGGATTTAGCGCAAGGCCAAGGATTGTGAAGTAGGGTTTCGGGTTCAGGTTTCAAGGCTTAGACGAGTAGGGGCTTAAGGGTAAGTCAGAAGCCCAATAACGGGGAAACCACATATCCTGAAGCCAAACCTATAGGCCCAAAACCAGAAGCTAAAACCCTGAAAAGCCCTTGCCACGTCTCAGAGAAACAACCTGAGCCAAGCATCTCGCCCCAGGAGTTGCGGACGATCCTTCGTTTCATCTACACGCACAGGGTTTAGGGTTTAGGGTTTAGGGTTTCGGGGTTGAGGGTGTAGCTTTTGCGAAGCAGGAATCATGAGCCAACCCGGGACCATTCGGATGTAGCCCCTAAACTCTACATAATATGCGTATAATACAAAATACAAAAGATTCAAAGATATAAGACACAATGGATTGTTATGTGCTGTGTAATGAATAATATACAATATAAAATATATAATATATTATATATAATATATGATATATGATATATGATATATGATATATGATATATGATATTATCTAAAAAATATAATGCATCATATATAATACATAACATATAATATGTAATATATAATGCGAGATGCATGATATACGATCCATAATTCATAAGACAAAATACATATTACTTAATATATATATATATATATATCACATTGCATATTGCATAATGCATAATATAGTATATATATATATTATATTATATATTATATATTATATATTATATATTATATATTATATATTATATATTATATATTATATATTATATATTATATATTATATATTTTAATATTGTATTTGACATATTGTATTTTATGTAACGCATATTATATGCTACTCATTATATAATATATGTATGTATATGTGCAATATAGTATATAATGAGTAACCTATAATATGTGTTACATAAAATATAGTATGTAAAATACAATATTCAAATATATTATATATTACATATAATATGCAATATGCAATATGCAATATGCAATATGCAAATATTTAACATATTACAAATAATATATAATGGGATGTAATATTTAACCGGAAAGCAAGGCTCCAGTAGAGACCTTCCTCCGGGTCGGTGCCCCAGCCGACCACGGAAACGACGTGGTCTTGCAGGAGCGACCAGCCCCGAATGACGCCGGTGGTGTACTTCAGCCTTGGTAGCAAGGCGGTCAGTTTTGCTTTTTAAGGTTTAGGGTTTACTCGAAAAACCCTGGACTCTGAAACCTTAAGCCTTAACACAATAAGCTTTTATCTTTCGGAGCCCGGTCCTAGATCTGTTGGACCGTTATGGGATCGACATCTACCAGGCCTAGGTGGGAATTCTGTAGCGTCCAGCAGCAGGGGGTTTGCATCGATCCCGCAGGAGATGGGCCCTCTGTTGTAGATCTCTTTCATCATGGCCGCCTGAGGCAGGCCCCATATCCCTGAAAGCCTCCTAAACCCTCAACTCTAAAAACACAAAACCCTAAAACCACTAAACCCTAAACCCTTCCAAGTGCTTGGCTTGCTTCATCGAGGTCTGCATGATGCCAAGACCCTAATCCCTGAAAACTCTAAGCACCTGCCTTTTAATTCAAGCCTTAGCTCGTTCGAGAATCTTCGCACCTTTCTTTAGGGCTGCCTCAAAAGATAATTCTGCATATCCTCAAAAGCCCCCTGAACCCTAAACCCTAAACCCTAAACCCTAAACCCTAAACCCTAAACCCTAAACCCTACCGAGACACCCCCCTCCCCCCCCAACCCAAGGGCTGGTAGCACACGCATCCTTCCGCCTTGCCCCTGATGGAGCCATAGTCCGAAATCGTGGCGTTGGGGTAGGTGTCCTTGGTCTCCCAGCGCTAGGAATGAAGGATTGTAGGGTTTAGGGTTTAGGGTTTGGGGTCTTAACTCTGATCTCAAAAGGCCTAGGAATATGATAAAGCGACATGCCCCGCCCCCCCCCCCCCCCATGCGTTCTTGGTTTGAGCGTGAAGAAGGCAACCCAGATAATTTCACCCCAAGAAGTTGACCAGGTGCCAGCCACTGTAGGGTTTAGGGCTTACCCTAAACCCTAAACCCTAAACCCTAAACCCTAAAGCCTAAACCCTAAACCCTAAACCCTAACAGGGTCCAAGTGTCCAGGCCCACACAGGTCTCCCCGAAAGTGGCGCAGGTGCGGGCGATGTTCTCAGCCTTGCAGCTGGTGTCCGCACTCTTGCAGATGCCAGCACCTCGGGTTTAGGGTTGAGGGTTTGGGGGTTTAGGGTTTGGGGTGTAGGGTTTGGGGTTTAGGGTTCAGGGTTGAGGGTTTAGGGTTGAGGGTTTAGAGTAGGGTTTAGGACTCAATCTAGACAAGCCCCTGCACCACCTCAAAGCCATAAACTCTACACTCGAAGCCCTAAGCCCTAGGCCCTAGACCCCAAAACGGCCGAACCCTAAACTCTTAGGGTTTCGGCTATAGGGTTAGGGGCCAAACAAACCGACAGCGTCAAGCTCGCAGACTCAAACTAAAGCTCTTTGGCAGGTTCGGGGTTTGTGGGGTGTAGGACTCTTGGGGTTGTGCAAAATTATGGCGATTGAGTGTTTTACTCACAGGGTAAGTGCCAACAGACCAGCACATCATGAACGACCAACCCTCGTATGATGCACACGTGGCTATCTTTGGGGCTGAAGACTCGGGGAAGCCTTCGGGCTTTACATGCCCCAGCCCAACCTGCTAGGGCTTCGGGACGTTTAGGGTTTAGGGTCCAACTGCTGATTGAAGAGAGGCGCTGCTTTCGCTGGAGCAAGCCAAGTATGGCCTGTGCTGCTTGCGAAGTTGTGGGTGGTGCGGGGAGGGGCCGAATCATGGCTTTGCGTTCAGGGCCTTGGGGCGGCAGGAGATGCCCTTGCAAGTAATGAAACACGTGTAGGGTCTGAGGGTAAGAATCTGGGATGGTTGGCGTCGATGCTGAGACATTGAAGAAAGGCCAAATTTGGGATTCCCCTTCTATTAACAGTCCTTTATAGGGATTCTAGTACCCCCTCTTAGAATCCCTATTAAGCACCGTTAGTATAAGGGGGAACATCCCAAGGCCAATTTTTCCGCGGGGGAATGGTAGGCGGCCAACTTCTGAGGGGGACCCGACATCCTTACTGCTGGCTCGTAGGGAATGAGGGAATGAGGTCCCCTATATCCCCCTGTATGTATATATATATATATATATAAATACCCTTTAAGGGATGCAGTAGGGATTCTATAAGGTACCCCCATTCCCCCATTCCCTACGAACCAACAGTAAGCAGCTTGCCGCGCCAGGCTGCTGTGAGGTGAAGTAGGAGATGCCGCTGCCGCTGCGCCGGCTCAGCCTCGCGGTGAGGTGGTGAGGTCACTTGAGGGAGGTTTCCACTACACACCCACAGGGAAGGGGGGGCGCTCTTCTATGGTTGCTTCCACTACTCACCCGCAGAGGGGTGTGGGGGGCAGGTGGGGCCAAAAACCCCCGAAAGGCCGAAACCCTTGAGGCGCTTGGCCCATTTTCAGCATCCTGACAGTAAAACCAAGCCCAGCTTGCCCCCCCGCTTCCCCCAGCAAAAATCCTAAACAGCCATAGCCACAAACCCGCCCGAAACCCTAACACCTTGCACCAGGGCGCTTGTAGATCCACTGGTAAGGGCCATCGACCGTTCCACCATGGCCTGGAGTATCTGGGGTCTTGTTCAGTCTCTCTCAACCCTAAACCCTAAACCCAAAACCCAGAGGGCCAACTCTCGGATCATGTGCTCAGGTCTCAGCCAGGGCATATTGTTTGCGCTTAAAAGGACTGGCGAATGAATTGTGCATTCGAAGGATGAGAGGCAGCCGCGACACGGCTATGCATCTAAGCCCGCATCTAAGGCAAGCATGAACGGCCACGATAGACCCAAGTTTTGAAGAGCGCATAAAGCCCGAAACCCTGAAACCAAAAGCCCAACACCCAAAAGCAGCGAGAAAACGAGAAACGCCTGACCTGGAGCTTCATGTGAGGAGACAGCCGGTCTGCACCAATTAGAAGGGATTCATTGCTGTAGGTGTTGGGTTTAGGGGGTTCAGGTTCAGGGTTAGGCCCCCCCCCCCCCCCCGCGATAAACGCCGCCAGAAGACAGGATCCGACGTTGCCGCAGTTGAGCATGTGCTGCACGGACAGCTGGACATCAGTGCCTTTCGCTCCACGGGCGATCCTGAGGCGATGAGACCGGGATGGGGGTGTTAATTAGGGGTTTGGGGGCAAGCATGAGCCCTGCAAAGCCCCCACAGAATTGGAAGAAAACATCAAAACAAAGAATGACGGCAGAATGATAGCAACTACACAAGTTGCACTTGAGTTGAACAGGCCTTCCCTCTACCCTAAACCCTAACACCCGGCTGGGTGTGCCATGGGAAGGCCTCCCTGACTGCTGGGCTTCGGGTTTGGGTCTACAGGCCAAGGGGTGGCGGGTGGGGCGGCGGGTGGGGCGGGGGGTCGCCGAAAAGTACCCTACACCCACATTGACGGCGGCGATTAACGAGTTGATCAGGCTGTTGGCTTCATGTCCCTAAGCCCTAAGCCCTAAGCCCTAAGCCCGAAGCCCTAAGCCCTAAGCCCGAAGCCCTAAGCCCCGAGCCCTAAACCCTAAATCCTAAACCCGGAAAAAAAACACCACCCTCCGGCTTAGGGCTTGGGGTTTAGGGGGTGGTGTAGGTTGAGGATTTGGGGTTTCCAACGGTTCAGTATAGGGGGCTTTCTAGTAAATACTAAATATCCGAAACCCTAAATTCTAACTCCTAAACCCTAAACCCCAGAGAAGTGGGCAGGCGGGTGTCTTGATGCGGTCTGCCAGGGCCGAAGTGGCGCCGTGTGCCCAGCAGGAGCCACAGTATCTGGAGTCAAAAACGCATACTGGTCGGGGGCTTACTGTAGGGCTTCGGTAAGCTTCCAGAGCCAACCTAGAGTCTTTCTATAGAAACGCCCTGACATCCGCAACTTCAAGGGGTCCTGCAAAACAAGATGGGGGTTTGCAGTTTAGGATTCAGAGAGCGTCGGCCTTGGGGGTGTGCTCCCTCAGACTTCCCTTGATACTCCGACTATGGCCCCAAGACAAGGGGGTCAGGGTGCGGAGGGGCGCAGGGTCGGGTGTTCGGACTGTTTTTCTCCTAGTTAGGGTTTAGGGTTTAGGGCTTAGGTTTAGGGTAGTGCAGGGTTTGCCTTAAGAGACTTCCACAAGTCCGAAACGAGGCTGAGGCGCTGTGGAATGTGCTGGTTGAGCGAGATGGTGCAGTAGTTCACGCCATCCTCCGCTGCAGCTTCTTCAACACCCGAAGCCCCAAACCCTCAACCCCAAACCCTAAACCATAAACCCCCAACCCCTCACCCCCTCTACCCACGACAAATAGCGAAGGAACAAGAGAGAGAGAGAGAGAGAGAGAGAGAGAGAGACACACACACAAACAAGCAGAAAGCAATCCCTGAATGAAGATCAAACAAACGACCGTAAATCTTAGAACCAAGCTAAGCTGCCTTGTTGCACCACGTGAAGTCGGTAGGGTAGCCCCCATCTGGCAACGGCAGGTCGTCATGCGAGGACCTGGCTCGGTGGCTGTGAGTAAATCAGGCCTTCTAGGGGTTTTGACATAACAAAAGGGGCTCTGGGTTTAGGGTTTAGGGTTTAGGGTTTAGGGTTTAGGGTTTAGGGTTTAGGGTTTAGGGTTTAGGGTTTAGGGTTTAGGGTTTAGGGTGTAGGGGCTCTGGGGTCCGTAGGGAACCTGGGCCCCGAAGTCCCTAGCGGCCGCAGAAAGAAACCAGCCCCCCGAGGAACCCCCCCGCCCGAAGCCCAGTCGTTAAGCTTTCGCCGAAGGGAGTGCGGCTATACTACTATATACCCTAAACCCCTAAACCCTAAACCCATAACCCTAAACCCGTAACCCTAAACCCCAACCCTGAACCCTGAACCCTATAACCCTATAACCCTATAACCCTATAACCCTATAACCCTATAACCCTATAACCCTATAACCCTATAACCCTATAACCCTATAACCCTATAACCCTATAACCCTATAACCCTATAACCCTATAACCCTATAACCCCAAACCCCTAAACCCCCCAAGTTGGAACAAGGTCGCGCCTGGCGGTGGCGTTCCCGCCCACGACCACACCCAGGGCTTCGGCCTGCCCAGAGAGCAGAGGGTGGACCAAGGGGCTTAGGGTTTAGGGTTAAGAGTAGGGTTTAGGGTTTAGGGTTTAGGGCTAGGGTTTAGGGTTTCGGGTTTAGGGTTACCGGCTCTGAAGGGCTGAAGCCTTCAAAGCCCCCTTGATCCCCAAGCCTCTTCCTGCGAGAGCAGCTCACTCCGATGCTCTCTGGCAGTTGCCAGGAGTGTGGCTGCTGCCTGGGTTTAGGGTTTAGGGCTTAGGGTTTCAGGCTTCCAAGTCGCCTGAGGAAAAAAGGGGGTTGAGGCCTCTTAGGGCCTACATAGGGTTCCATGACTAGGGTTGAGGGTTGGAAGCTGTATTGTTAGGTTTCTTGGGTCTTCGGCGGGAAACTTGGCGACAAGAATAGGGGAAACAAATATTATTGGGGACTCCTAGTGGCTAGTGGTGTGTGCGAGATCACGGTGGAGGCTTGCAGTTCAGTGCTGCATTTGGAGTGCTTTAGCCTTGGGGGTTTAGAGTTGAGAGGCCCTTTATAGGGTATCTAGGCCAGTTAGGGTTCACAGAGTTTATCGTTGTAGGGGTAACAGGGTCTATGGGATTTTGGGGTAGGTAACTGAGGACGGCGCAAGAAGAGTGCAGCGCATGGCGAGCTTCGGAACGGTTCAACTGCAAGCTACGGCGGATCCCTTTGAGCCTGTACGCGCAAACAAACCGCAACCCCACAAAAAGAAAGCTCTGAGGGTTGTCGGGTTGAGGGTTATCGTCTCCTTAACCGCGAACTTGAAACCCTCCCACCAAGGAGTCCCCCCAAATGCAGTCAGAGCAACCCTTAAAGCCCTGAGGGCTCCAAAGCAAGAACCCTGAACCCTTCCCTCAGCTCGACTCCGCAATTGCCATCCTCCATGAAGTACCGGAGGTTGAAGAAGAGCGCCCCGCCATTGAAGGCCACCGTCTGCGTGTCCTCCCGCGGAAAGGCCATGGCGACGGTGTATGGGGCCAATTACTGCACTCTGGGTTTAGGATTCAGCGTTTATAGTTGCAAGCAGTTCTCTCTCTCTCTCTCATGTATATATATATATATGTATGTATCAATATATATATATATATATGTACATAGATACACATATGTATATATAGTTCTGAACATCTATGTGTAAAGGAACACGAGCAGGAAGCCCTGCAGCAGTCCTCCTCAAAGATGTGCACTCTCTCCTGGCCTCTGTTCGGCAGAGGCTTACGGAGTAGGGAAGTTTGCTCAGCTTCGGTCCTCATGAGGCCCGCTTTTTGGTGCAAGGAAGGTCTAGACTCTGCCCGATTTAGTACGGGGTTTACAGGGTTCACAATTATAATATGATATAGGGCTTAGAGTAACCGGGGTTGGGGGGGGGGAGGCTGGGAGAAGATGTGCCGTACGGCACCTGACATCTGACTAGTTCTTTTATGGAGTTAAGGGTAAGCATGTATCTGTATATGTATATATATATATGTGTATCTATATACATATATATATATATACATGCACCATATGGTGTATGGGGATACACGGAAAACGTAATTTCCAAATTCCTGCGAAGAACCAATCAGTAGTCACTCACTAGCCTCGCCCCCAACGAGGCCCCTGCGAGAATCGAAGAATTAGCAGGCACTTTGTCTTGGGTGGCGGGGGGTTTAGGGTTTAGGGTTTCGGGCCTAGAAAGGAGGGGGGGGGAGGTGGATGGGTGAGACCCCTCTGGGCGCAAGGCTGAGAGGAGGTCGGCAAAGCGGTCTAAGGACTCATTGGCCATGGCGGCCTGGCGATTCTCTCTTCAGGCGGCTTTGTGCTGTCCCCCTAATTTACCCTAATAATGACCGAAATCCCCAAACCCTACAACTCCTAAACTACACCCTAGAAATCCTTCACAGAAAACCAGCCCATGAAGCCTGCGTTTCAAGGGGGTGGGAGTAGGCTAGTGGGCTTTCGGGGTTCAGGGTTCGAGGATTCAGGATGTGGGGATTGGGTTGGTAGGACCTTCAACATTCACGTCGCTCCAGCACCCCGCTTTACAAAACCAACAGGAGCCCCCAACCCCCCCTCCCCCCCTCCCCACCCCCTTGGGACTGAGCCACTTAAATTCCCGAAAGATGTTTTTTTGGTTTAGGCAATAGGAAACCCTCATTAGGCCCTCAGCCGCTATGGTCCAGAGCCAAACCCTACTACCAGCCAACAGGCATTGTATGGTATGAGAGGCATGCCTAGAAGCTTTGTGGGACGAGCAGGAGGCCAACCCCCAAACCCCAAACCCAAAACCTTAAACCCTAAGCCCTACACCCTAACCCTAAACCCTAAACCCTAAACCCTAAACCCTAAACCCTAAACCCTAAACCCTAAACCCTAAACCCTAAACCCTAAACCCCTAAACCCTTCTTTTCCTTGGCATCCTTGGAGCCCTTCTACGACATGCCCGCCCAGTCGGGTGGGGGCGCTTCGAAGGAGAGCCCCAGCGTCGGAAAGTCATAGTGCCTTCTTTTTTGAGGCTAGGGTTTAGGGTTTAGGGTTTAGGGTTTAGGGTTTAGGGTTCAGGGTTCAGGGTTCAGGGTTCAGGGTTTAGGGTTTAGGGTTTGGGGTTTAGGGTTCAGGGTTCAGGGTTTAGTGCTTAGGGTTGAGGCCCAGGGTTCAGATACCCGACACAGAATCCCGCAGAGAATTCCAGATGATCCCTATATGTTCGACGTGTTTTAATCAGCAGACTCCTAATCCCTGAGGCCTATATACCCAACTGCGCAGAAAAATCAAGCCCTTTGAGGCCTTATATACCCCTGGCAACCAAAAAACGGAAACACTTGCCATGGCATCGCAGTCGCCAGCTGTGCAGCCAAATGGTAGGGTCCAATCTTGGAGGAGGCTCCTCGCCCGACACGACGTCCCTTGGCTTCAGGGACGGCCGCGCCGCAAAGAAACGAGCGCATGAAACAATCTTCTGTTTTGAATGCGCAGCCGCGACACCCAAAGAAGGCCCAAATAAAGCTTAATGGGTCCTGTCATTCAATGCCTGTGCCAGAAGACATCTTAAAGTACTTGTCTTAGGGAACAAGGCCCGGTAGTACACCCTTCCAGGCATAGGGACGGTCTAAGCCTTTGACTTCAGCAGCTCTTGGCTCAAGTGTACCACAGATTCTTTACAAGATCGAGAAAAAAACTAACTTCATCCCCTACACACCCGAAAATTTCAATTGCGCCCCCGAGCTGCTGGAAGTACTCACAGGACTTGCACCCTGGGTACTGATACTCCTGGATCATCTGCCGGGCGCGCGTACCATTGAAGATCTCCTGGCCAAGCCCCTCCCCTACACGTTAAGCCCTACACTTTCGGATCCCCCTTACACTGACAGTCCTTCATAGGGATTATAGTACCCCTATGATAGTCCCTATTAAGGACTGCTAGTATAATGGGTGAGCATCCCAACCTACACGGGTCTCAGTGGCGGCTCCTGGGAACGCTCGGGGACCGAATGAACCCAAAATTGGGGTCATTTTGCCCTTCACTACTATAACTCCTGTTAAGGTATATGAACCATGAACCGGGACAATGCTACAGGACGAAACGAGACACACCTAGCTTTAACAACAAGCAAACAAGCAAACGTTCGCACCCTCTTTTAAATGCATGACATGTCCAGTCCTGCCCCAGTTGCGGAACGCCACCGTAGGTGGGGTCGTTGGCAATGGGCCAACCGGCCTGTTGCAAGTGGCACCGCACCTGTGCGTGATGGCGAGTGGTCCGTCTCACATCTCACAATTTGGGCCAAGCAAACTCGGATGCTATACAAAACGTAAGGCATATGAACCAGAAACCTGTAGATTTTGTTGCATAGAACTACACTCGGATACTACACAAAAAACGAAAAGACAAATGACCCATAAACCTATACTGCACAAAAACTTAAGGCAAATGAACCAGAAACCTTTTGACTTCAAACGTGACCATGCCAGGGGTGGCCACCACCAGAAGTTCAGACTTCAGAAAGGTGACCCAAGGGGCAAGCCTCAAACCCTAAACCCGCCCGAAACCCGAAACCCCAAACCCCAAACCCTAAACCCTAAACCCTACACCCTAAACCCTCAAACCGAAAAGCCCTGAATGCTAAGTGGAGTTTCTTGGAGAGGGAACTTGCCTGGTGATACCGCCCGGTGAGGATGCGAACTGCCAGCGTGGCAGTGCCATCCTCATGCCGCGCGAGGACCTCTGGCTTATTCGGGTTTGGGGTTTAGGGTTTAAGGTTCAGGGTTCAGGGTTTAGGGTTCAGGGTTTAGGGTCTAGGGTTTAGGGGCATGTAAGGGTTTGGGTCAAGGACGTGGGGCTTCGATGGTCGAGGGTGGCTCTCTTGGACTTGCAGGCGAGGTGAAGGGTTAGTGCTCTAAGCCTCTGGACTTCGGGCTTATAGGCCGTAGGGTCTATAGGGTTTGAGGTTGAAGGTTTAGGGTTTAGGATTTCGGCGTTAGGGTTTGCTTAGGGTTTCTGGCGGGGCCTTCTCCACTACGCTCTCCGCGCGTTTGCCCGTGGCAGATGCGACCGCAACGCTCTTCATGGTCAACTTATCCTCCAATAGGTACTCAGGTGTGTATGTATACCCCCAAAGTACGGTTCTTACTGTATCGGAACGTCCAAAAACGGTATCCCTTTATGGTGCGGTTTAGAGTTTAGGGTGGGCTCAGGGGGCTTAAGGTATAGGCGGCTTAGGGGGCGTACGCACTATGACCCTAACCCTAAACCCTAAATCCCAAACCCTAATCCCTAAACCCTAACCACCAAAAACGAGTTCTGGAACAAAGCCCTCGCGTCCTGGACGACATCCAGTGGTTCCAGTATCCTCAGGCCATCTTCCTCCTTATTAGGGTTTAGGGTTTTAGGGTTTTAGGGTTTAGGGTTTAAGGTTTAGGGTTTAGGGTTTAGGGTGGTGGCACTAAGGATGAAACGTAAAGCTGAGACCATGTAACCTGTTCTACCAACCAAGCCTTGCTAAGGCGCAGGGTTCGGGGCTCCCCGCGCTTTGGATGGCTCTAGGACCTCAAGTTGGGATCACATACACTACTCCTAAACACAATCCTGTTGAGGTAGACGACCCATAGGGGGGGGTTTTCGATAATAAGGGCACCCACAAGATTGTAGGATCCCTTAAGAACAGGATCCCAATAAGGTACCCCCCCAATATCGTAAAGCCCCATATATCCTGTCCCTTTGAACTCTGATTTCGTCGACAAGGCTCGGGGCCTCCGAGGGTCCGTGCCAGGTAGGTCTTCTGCACCTTGCGGTTGCGGATGCAGCGCATCAGCCGGGAGAGGGCCTTCTTGTTCTTCCCGAAGCAGAGCACCTGACTGGGGGGGGGGGGATTCAGGAATCAGGTACCTTCTGTCCCCCTAAGCCCTACACCTAGACCGCCTGTAGAGCCCGCTTAAAGGAGGGGAACCTAACTCCCCGAAGTCACAGCTAAGACCCAGTAAGTTCGCCGAAGGCACCCCGGACACTGGCTTGTCAATGCGATGAGCTGGGTAGACATTGGAGTAGCCCATGGCTTCCAGCATTCCGATGACAGACAGCCGCACACTCCCGCAGCTTGGGTTTGCAGTGATATCCACCCCGGCAGGCTTTGAGATGGCTAGAAACTGGCGATCCTCATACACGATAGGAATCTCCACATCAGGAGCCGCGCGTTCGTGAACGTGGATCATGAGCCGGGCTCGGTCCCCCTCCTTGACAACATAGTCGGCGTCAATTTGCTCAAACTCGAGATGTTGCCATGCACATCTTTCTACGCGGACGCCGCCACTGTCGAGCTGCTGCAGCCACCAGCCGGGCGATATCGAGTTGAATATACCAGGTATCTCGGCATCTTCATCCAGCTTTCGAGCCTCTTGTGCCTTCCGTATTGCATCGCCAATCCGCTGTCCCATTATTGAACCCAGCTTCACGCGAACCTCGTGGTCGTAAGGCGTTGCGTACAGAATCCCATGCTCTTTGAAGACCTGTGTCGGCACAAGGCAACTTGCAGAGACGTACTGCTCTCTCAGCAGGGAGTAGCCACCAGCGCAGACCGAAAGAAGTGTGCCAAGTCTACCAAGCAGTGGGCATGATGATGTCCGCAGGACTCGACGGGGCTCACGCATGGCTGCAGCAAGTCTCTGAATTACAACTCATGTCGTGCGCAGCCAAATAATTACCGCCTGCTGCCGGACTACTACTACTACTGTCGCGATTCCTGCTTCTCCCAGTACCCCTACAATTTACGCTGTTGCTGTTCTGTTGGTGGATAACTCAGGTGCTTCCAGTGTGACTTCGTTTTTCCACCCGACGAGGTTGCAATCAGACCCGCGACTCTATCTCCCATCCTGGCCAGCTACTAAGTTACTAGGGTTTAGGATCTAAGGTTTAGGGCGCTAAACCGTGAACCCTAAACCCAAGACTACGCTTGAAGGGGGTAAACAAAGCTCTCTTGCGTCTCATGCACCTGCTGCATCAGACTTTGCGACCGCATGGCTGAAGTGTAAAGAGCTGCGTGGAGGGCATCCAAACCATACTTAGCAAAAGAAGATAGTTAACCCAAAGATACCTTTCAAAGAGAATGAGAAATTACAAAACACACAAAATCCTAAGGCCCGAACACGGTGAATGCAACTATCTGGCTCCCAAAGCCCTAAACCAAGTAACACAGCAGGATGAAACCCTAAAGCCCTAAACCCTCGAGGCACACAACCCCTGAAGGCCCTAAACCCTGAAGGCCCTAGACCCTTAAAGCCCAAACCCCACTGCCTTGGTAGCTCAGTAACCCTACTGTAATGAGGGGTACCCTTGTTGGGGTTGCCTACTGTCATAAAGGGGGGGACCAGCAACAAGAAAAGGGCGAAAGCTACCAAGCCTTGAGGGGTACTATAGGAGCCCTACAAGGGGCCCTTAGCTTCAACCCTTATATACTCCTTTCACAGCTCCTGAGTATCTAAGCAGCCCCTACATTACCCCTAAGGGTCCTTGTAAGGGTCCCTCCTTTCGTTAGAGGCCCCTATCATCTAGGGTTCTTCAGGGACGGGGGTTCAAGGCGCAGGCTCCCTAAGCTTACCCGAAGGTTCCCTAGGTACCTACCCCCCCTGAACCCCCTCCCTTAAGAACCCCGATAATTTCGTCCCTTGAAAGTCTACAGTTCTCGCCTTGAGCCGCTTCATGGCCTGATCCTGTCCACTCCGCTCGACCCACACAGGGATCGACCTCAGCGCTCTGAGGCTGGCATTGAGGGTTCAAGACTTAGGTTAGGGTTTCGGGTTTCGGGTTTCGGGTTTCGGGTTTCGGGTTTCGGGTTTCGGGTTTCGGGTTTCGGGTTTCGGGTTTCGGGTTTCGGGTTTCGGGTTTCGGGTTTCGGGTTTCGGGTTTCGGGTTTCGGGTTTCGGGTTTCGGGTTTCGGGTTTCGGGTTTCGGGTTTCGGGTTTCAGCGTGTAGTGTTCAAAGTTGTCAGTTTGATTGTTAAGGCCTGGAGTCTGGCTGTCTGGGAGTTAGGCTTTTGGGCGTTGAGGGCTTAACACCCACCCAACACCCCCAAATCCTGACCCGAAAAAGGCCTTGTGAGCTGGGCCGTGGGGGCTTGGAGGGATCCAACCCTGCCCTAATCCCTAAACCCTAAAACCGTAAACACTAAAACCCTAATTCCTAAACCCTAAACCCTAAATCCCCCAAACCCTAAGCCCTGGACCCCTTCGGTTCAATCCAGCGTCTCAACTTTGGGGCTGCTTAGGGTTTTCTTGGGTGGAATAGGGTTTAGGGTTTAGGGTTCAGGGGGTGAGGGTTTGATTTTGGATGGGTTGAGGGTTAGGGTTCAGGGAGCTGGGGATTTAGGGTTCAGGGTTAGAGCTGGTAGAGCTACGTGTCAAGATGGCAATCCCTGTGCCACCGGATCCGCACGGCTTTGGGATCAGGCATGGCATCCCTCTGAAACCCCAAACGCCCTCTTCACTAGACTATACATAAGTAGGGGGCGGAATAATGACTACTATGGATCCCTACATAGCTATACTATGAATAACTCCCAACACCTTTTTCAACCATTAAGGCCCCTATCCCCAAACCCTAAACCCTACTCGAAATTTTAAGGCCCCTATCCCTAAACCCTAAACCCTCAACCATGAACCCTAAACCCTGAACCCTAAACTATGAACCCTAAACCCTAAACCCTAACCTGAAAAACCCTAAACCCTCAACTCTATTCCAATCATTAAGGCCCCCAAATTAAGCCCAAGAGCTCCAAACCCTCAGGCTAAGGAGTCGGCGCATCGCGGTTCCACTGCGAAGTCAAGACCCCAACCTGAGGGTTTAGGGTTTAGGGTTTTAGGGTTTAGGGTTTAGGGTTTAGGGTTGAGGGTTCAGGGTTTTAGGGTTTGAGGGTTTGAGGGTTTGAGGGCTTTAGGGTTTTAGGGTTTTAGGGTTGGAGGGTTTGAGGGTTTTAGGGTTCTGGGGTTTTAGGGTTTAGGGGTTTGGGGTTTACGGCTCTGCATGAGGCTTTGGCATCCCTAAAATTGGGGGGCACCTTTGGGGCGAAGTCGGGTGTAGGGTGTAGGGCTCAGGGCTTCGGATGATAGGCTTTTAGGGTTTAGGGTTTAGGGATTTAGGTTTTAGGGTTTCTTGGACTCTTGGGAGGTTCGGGCTCTAAAGTAGAGAAAGGCTTAGGGCTTTGGGCTCCTGCGCCCCGAAATCCTCTTTCTGGAACCATTGCCAGGGTTCCACAGGGTTTAGGGTTTAGGGTTTAGGGTTTAGGGTTTAGGGTTTAGGGTTTAGGTGATACGGTGATGGTTTATGGATTCTTCAAAGCAAGGACCTCGCGGCCTCAAGCCTGAATCTTAGTTGCTGAGTTCATAGGCCCCAAAACATGGGGGATTATAGTATCCCAAAAAGTGTCAAGTGTACTCGCTCAGCTACTAAGGAATTGAGGCCAAAGCCTATACCTTAAACGCCTAAAACCCAAACCTCCGAACCCTGCTATATATTCGTCTGAAACTCCAACCATGCCAAGTACGTATGCAACCGGGAGTTAAGCACTACCTGATTATCTCGAACGCTCAATCGAAACCCAAGGCCCTTCATCATCATTATCCTAAACCCCGACGGTCATGACCCTCTAAGCCTTGAATCCTAAACCTCAGCCCTAAACCCTAAAGCCTAAACCCTAAACCCTGAACCCTAAACCCCAAAGCCAAAACCCAACCGGGCCTTGTAGAGGTCGTGTTGTGGATTGCAGTCCACGCAGGCCTAATTTCACGACTCAGGGGACTTTGTCAGGTTTAAGACCTGGGGCATACCTGTTGATGTCTAGTGACTGTTGCCTACATCTATGTGTATGTGTATATATATATATATATAGATAAGTAGATATATACATTGTTTGATAATATCGATATGTGCTGATTGCATCTAGATCGGCTGTTTTCTCACACACAACCAAGTACCAGGCTTAGTTGCTTAACACAGGGTCCTTGGGTTGGGATGAAGAGAGAAAAACCCTTACTTTGGGGGAATCGCGAGGCTCAGGCAAGTATCTTCGAAAAAAACATATGTATGTACTCTGTCTCTCACTCTCTCTCTCTCTCTCTCTCTCCACACGCTTAACCCTCCCGGAGGAGGGCTGCCCCGAAAGGCGCACACTCTCTCTCTCTCTCTTAGTCTTTCTCTCCCTCTCTCTCCCTCTCTCTCTCTCTCGCTCTCTCTCTCTCTCTCTCGCTCTCTCTCTCTCTCTCTCTCTCTCTCTCTCTCTCTCTCTCTCTCTCTCTCTCTCTCTCTCTCTCTCTCTCTCTCTCTCTCTCTCTCTGTCTCTCTTTTTTAACGGCGCCCAGGCCCAGGGGACCCTAATTTGTAGAACTACCCATATCGAAGCAAGGAGCCTCGCTGCGATGCTTGACCTGGTTTGGCCGCGACTTCATCTGCCTCCACCAGGATTCGGGCTTAGGGTTTAGGGTTTAGCGTTTAGGGTTTAGGGCGTGTTTTGCTTGGGCTACTCGGCCCCCTGGATAAGCCCCATATCATGTGGAACCCCTACCGTGTGGGGGACGAGTAATTTCAAAGCGTAAACAGGCGGTGTGTGTAAACCCTATGCTGCATGGGGGCCTATCCTTAAAGGCTATGTAGTGGATGTTCCAACAAAACGGAAGAAACAAAACCCTAGACCCTAAGCCCCACGCCCTGAACTCTTGGAACCAGTAAACATGGGTTGGCTCAAAGGCTGAAGCTAAGGTCCTGGAAGTACTCCAAGGCTTCTAAAGCCCAAGCGCCAAAGTAGCCCATCAGCCCTCCAAGCCTGTTGTAAGGCCGCACCCAATCCTGCGCGCCTAAAACCCTAAACCCTCTAAACCCTTATGAACAGCCCTATACACCCTAACCCCAAACCCTAAACCCCAAACCCTAAACCCCCAAAAAGGCCCCTGTAAGATACACACACACACACTACAGGGGTTCCTCACCTGTTGTCCTGGATGGTGAGGACACTGGATGCAAGCTTCTCCAGCATCCGCCGGCGCTGGCGACGACCTCATAGGGTCCCTAGCAGTTGAGGTCACACCGGGTCGCGGGTTTGCAAACCCCTGAGCCCCAAAGCCCAAAACCTCCTGAGCATCCTAGCCAACCCGCCGTCGACGAGGGGCCTCTGCCCAGTTCAACTCGAAGCCAGGCCACGATCCCTCAAGACCCCGGAAGCCTAAACCCTGCACCCTAAGCCCGGAACAGTAGACCCTGCACCCTAAGCCCGACACCCACATGCCCAACCCATCAGCCTTACTTGCCACCATAAACTGCGCTGGAATCCCCAGGGCAATCTTCAAAACTTGAAAAGACAGTAAGCAGCAGCATTAGGGTTTAAGGTTTGGGGTGTGCCAACCCAGACTCCGGGGCATCGTCCTTTTCAAGTCCACCTTAGGATGTTGGGTTTCGGGTTTAGGGACCTAAGTCCTCAAACCGCTGAATCTCTAAACCTCCAAACCTCTAAACCCTAAACCCTGAATCCTTAACCCTAAACCCTAAACCCTAAACCCTAAACCCAGGCCTAAAACCCTATAAACCCCTCGGCCACAAAGAAAGTGGCCGAACTGGGGCTCCGGTCCATCCGAAGCAGCCTCGGGGTCTGCTGTCCGCGAAGGCT